AAGATACATTTACCGCTACATTCATCTGCTCACTTTGACAGAAACTAAAGCTGTTTTGCCAGAAAAGAGTTAACTTGCAGACTCACAGAACAAAAATTGTCTTCACACATCATTGATAATATCAAAGTGGTTAAGAAATAAAATGATAATATCTGCTCAAAGGAAGGATATCTGAACCACCAAGTGGGTGCAATGAGGATGAAGATGAGGACTATATTCACCTCCTAATCTCTCAGTTGCTTCCTTCACCTGTTTCCTCGTTTCTACAAATCAAATAAAAAAGGCAGAAGACAAAAAAGATGTTGATGCTGACAGAACACTGATACACAAAGACAAACGGAAGCCTGTGTATAAGATAGATAACATCTTCCCCACGAACCATTTTTGCGGAAAGATAACTTTTTTCAGGATGATAGATGAATCGAATTCGTGCAAAGTTCTTGTATACCAAGATGAACTACCTTTGTACAAGTATATATGTAGCTGCTTAAATATAACCAGACACAAGGAGGAACCCTAAGCCCGAAATAAACATCACTTAACCACGTCTAACATAAACATGATTCACTGGCCAGATGAATTTGAGACAGCAAAAAATCTTTGTAATAAAATGAAAACCATAAGAACCTTAATCGTTCTGCATAAGCAAGCATCGGCTCTACAACACCCTATCCATCTACGGCTCGAGCTGACTGACTAATGCTAACACTACTAACCACATAGAATCCTTTTTATCATTCATCCAGCATAGTGCACATATCATAATCAAAACACATAAGCATTGATATACCTTTAGAAAGTCCGGTCACGCAAATGACGAGACCAGAAAACGGCCCGTTCGACTTCACTATCTTAACATTAGATTCAGAAATTGCGGAAGCAGCAGAAGCAGGAGACATGGGCTCCAATGAAATTGATGAAATGCCTCTAAATGAGGAAGATAGATCAAGAAACAGCCTTGAACAACCTTTGCCGGCTATCACCTCCACCCTCCCACCCCCTCCTCCGACGACACCACCACCACCCATTTTCTCAATCACTCAACCAACAAATGGAACAGAACGCAATAGAAAAACTCAAAACCTTCATATGGGGAAAAGGGGGAATTTCGGACAAAAGGGAGAAACATAAATTTCGAATATGTAAAAAAAAAAAAAAAGCACAAATCTTTTCCTTCTTCCTATGAAAGAAGAAGACAGGTCAGGTCAATGGGTTCATCTTTCGCGGAGGGAAAACAAATTTTGAAAATCTTAAAACGAAAAATCTATTTCAAGAAAAATGAGAGAAAGGGAAAGAGTGAAGGGATAAAAAGCACAAATCTTTACTTTAAAAATCAAAAATCGAATGATGGGCAGGGAAATAACAAGTGAAAGGAGCTCAGAAACAAGAATCTACGCAGAAACTTTTCTCTGAAATTGCGTTTATATTCTCTGCTTTTCTGTCTTTACTGGGTTTTCTTTTGCTTTTGTGGGGGATCAGGAAAGTGGGAATTGGCGTGATTCATGAAAACCCTTTTGTTTTTCTCTCTCGCTCAGATTT